AATATCACATTTGCTTTGAGGAAACCTTCCTTTGACATTTACTACCTATCCATGATTCTGTTTGATTAATTATCACAGTAAAAAGGTATGACATCTTGTTAAACAGGTTAGAATAGGAAAAATAAGATCCATCAATCACACGTGACTTCCTCATGAGTCTTGCATAAACGTGTCTATCAATTACATTAATCAAGAAAACATTATAGGCACATAATAGTATGATGCATGAAAAATAAAAGGACAAAATATACATGTTCATTACCTTGTTCTCTTAACCAAGTTCCTACATTTAAAGATTTTCTGAGAACTCTACAATGCAAGCTGCAGTTTACAAACATGGCGTCCTCCCGTGGAAATAAGTAGCTGTCTACAAGTACCATGCGCTTAGCTACTAAACATGAAAATACATACAAATATTCCGAAAGATTACAAACAACTTTAGTTATACAATATTCACTGTTCACAGGCAAAAATAAACAAAAATAATATTACAAAGTACATATATAGACATTAACTTTCGATTCAAATAAATGCAGATCCTTGGGAAAAAGCGGGAGATTAAAAAAAAAAAAAAAAAATCTGGCTCTGCGTGGACCTAAATATAAAATGATTTCTTGCCTTTGTTTTTTTTTATTTATTCTTATATAATTTCTATATTGATTTTTCTTATCTTTAAATATATATCTTAATGATTGATAAGATAAGAGAATAGCGAAGGGGAGGGAGCATGAGTGCAATCTGCAATGAGAGGGGGGGGCAGTTCCCGCCATCAAAACTGCTTCGATAATGAATAAATAATCATTGACAGACACCAATAAAACTGGCGAGGGTGGAATGTTGCATGCAATGGTTTTGAAATCGGCGGGACTACAGTATTTTGGCTGTCATTTGATTAGTGGGACCTGGCGTAAAAAAGTATTGCGCTTTAACAGATACTGAACCACAATTGTAGCACTGTTATACTCTGGATAGGAAATGAAAATAAAACAAACAAACAAACTGCAAATCAGGTATTCTTCCGTATGAAAAAACAACAACAACATACTTTAATAAAAAAAAACAACTTCACCCCTTCCTTGTTTCCTCAGTTCCTTTTATTACGCTTTGGTAATTCCCCGTATAGCAACATGACCTCGCAACCTCCCGCTCTGCATAATTGCCAGGTTGGGTCAGCCAGGTCCAGGGCCTTGACCTCGTACCTCACCGTCAGCCGCCTCTCGATGACGCAATGCCGAGACCTGATTGGATGACATCGGACACCTCACGGATCGCTCATTGGACCGCAGGCTCCCCTCGTTCCCAGAGCGCTGGCACAGCTTTGGAGAAAAAAAATCTACACCCAGAAAAAAGACGATAACTAAGAGAGAGAGAGGAGAGGAGAGGGAGAGGGAGAGGAGAGGGAGGGAGGAAGAGGAGAGGAAGAGGAAGAGGAAGAGGAAGAGGAGAGAGAGAGAGAGAGAGAGAGAGAGAGAGAGAGAGAGAGAGAGAGAGAGAGAGAGAGAGAGAGAGAGAGAAGAGAGAGAGAGAGAGAGAGAGAGAGAGAGAGAGAGAAAGAGAAAGAGAAAGAGGAACTTTTAAGCTCCAGCAGCCGGCCCTCGATCAGCATCCCTCGATCCTCCAGCTGACCGCGACGACAAGCAGCAGCAGCACAAGACCCGCCCAGGTCTTCGCCGACGTTGATCTCCATTGCCTCCAGCACCCAGCCATACCTGTGGGAACTCACACAATCACTCCCTTAAGAGATACTGACCAGTTCAAATGGTAGATTTATACCATCTACCATACCCATTCGCTGAGAATTCGCTGATGTCACGGTCACCCAATCCTATCAACTAATCCTCTAATCTCTATTCCATACTAAGGGTTGTATATAATCCGATTCAAGATTGGCATTTGATGATGACTCGCTCTCTGAATTGAAACTTTGTTAAATTTACACAAGGTATAATTACATCCTTTTATGAGATTTAGGTTTAATTATAGTGATTATCTTCACGCTATGTCGCTACTTAAGGTTATGTAATGTGTTTGTTTTTCTCATTAATGCTGTTTGTAGTATAAAGGCAGAGTTGAGTTTGAATATTCTTCATACGTAGTGACGTTTTAAATAATATAGTAAAAGGGTTTAAAAAAGTCAAATACACGTGTTTGTAAGTATGAGATAAGTGTTCTAGGAGAAAAAACAAATCACAAAAAAATCTTGAATAGGGATGGTGTTATGCAGCTTTATATTTGTAGTGTACACTGCTTCAGGTAAGTTTGAACCTAATCATTTTCGCCATTTCTAACCATTTTCTTCATTTTTTTTCCAGATTCATCCCCTCCGATCGAACAAACACCCGAGGCAGAGTCTGATCCTCCAAGATCACGGGTTTAAAGTTGTTTAAAGCTGAAAATATGTTTCGCATATTTTGTCGACGAGTTGAGGCCCAAAATCTAATCTTGAACGATCACGGTTTTAAAGTCCAGGCTGGCAGTAAGGATGGATCCATTCAAATTACGGCTTCTTCTTTGACTGGCATCAGAAACTTTTACTTTCATTTTGAAGCTGTCTGCGCTACGTTAGATCCGCCTTTCACCTTTGAACAGAAGATTGGAATAATCATTTGGGATAGAGCATTGGGCGAGAGACCGTGTTTACTCAACCACACTAAAATACATTCACTATAAACCTTCCTTTCATAAGGGATCTTGCAGGGTTTCTGTATATCGTCTTTACATAGAAGAATAAGATTGGGTTTGTTAAAAATCTTGCATTGAAGTTTCTGTATGCGCTGTATTTGTACCTATCATTTTTATTCACGAAGAGATGAAATATGATGATCAAAATATAATGATTTTGATTATCAAGATTTGGAATTTATTGAAATTTACTGTCGGGTTTATGATCTTCGTTTTGAGTGCAATATGTACGATTTATACCGTATTGCGCGAGGATATAGGAAGTTATGAATAAAAATACCCGTTATTTAAGCCATACAATAGAGGGCATTGCCTGGAGTCATCAAATTATAGTTCCATTTCACTTGAACTTATCAAGAAAGTTCAATAAGGAGCGTCATTGATTAAGGTATCATTAAATGCTTATAATTTCCATAGAGAGAGAAGAGAGAGTGAGTGAGTGAGTGAGTGAGTGAGTGAATGAGTGAGTGAGTGAAGGTGTGTTGTGTGTGTGTGTGTGTGTGTGTGTGTGTGTGTGTGTGTGTTGTGTGTGTGTGTGTGTGTGTGTGTGTGTGTGGTGTGTTTCTGTGCAGAAGAGAGAGAGAGAGAGAGAAAGAAAAAGAGAGAGAGAGAGAGAGAGAGAGAGAGAGAGAGAGAGAGAGAGAGAGAGAGAGAGAGAGAGAGAGAGAGAGAGAGAGAGAGAGAGATGCAAATCGTCATTTTAAGGTTTCTTACAACTGAAAAAGTGTGAACTACTTGGAACACAATACCAATAAAATGTGATAATTCTGACATGTCTAAGAAGTGCTGTTAAAAAATCCAGGATGTAACGGAATTAAATGAATAACGGGAAATGGTGAAAACAAAAGAAAAAATAAATAAAATAGACATCCATAGAAAAAAATGTTGAAAACAATAGAAAAAATTAAATAAGACACTCGATAGAAAACACTAAACGACCAGATAAATTAGATAATAATATGAGAAAATATATTAGAATTTATTTATTTATTTCAAAAGCAACGAAATGCATCAATTCATTATCATATGCATTCTCGCAAATTTGATGCCGATTTTTTTTCTGCCACATGAAGCATATCAAGATTTTTTTTTCGACATTTGTTCATATTGCTATTTGCTATAAAATCAGCAGCACAAAAACTTCCTGAATAATATAGATACACAAAGAGACAGACAGACAGATAGATGGATAGATGGAGAGAGGGAGAGAGGGAGATATGGAGATATGGAGAGAGGGAGAGACAGAGAGACAGAGAGACAGAGAGACAGAGAGACAGAGAGACAGAGAGACAGAGAGACAGAGATACAGAGAGACAGAGTGACAGAGAGACAGAGAGACAGAGAGACAGAGAGACAGAGAGAGACAGAAAGAGAACAGAACAGAGAGACAGAAACAGAAACAGAAACAGAAACAGAAACAGAAACAGAAACAGAAACAGAAAACAGAACAGAACAGAAACAGAAACAGAAAACAGAAACAGAAACAGAAACAGAAAACAGAAACAGAAACAGAAACAGAAACAGAAAACAAACCAGAAACAGAAACAGAAACAGAAACAGAAACAGAAACAGAACAGAAAACAGAAACAGAAAAACAGAACAGAAACAGAAACAGAAACAGAAACAACAGAAACAGAAACAGAACAGAACAGAAACAGAAACAGAAACAGAAACAGAAACAGAAACAGAAACAGAAACAGAAACAGAAACAGAAACAGAAACAGAAACAGAAACAGAAACAGAAACAGAAACAGAAACAGGAAACAGAACAGAAACAGAAACAGAAACAGAAACAGAACAGAAACAGAAACAAAACAGAAACAGAAACAGAAACAGAAACAGAAACAGAAACAGAAACAGAAACAGAAACAGAAACAGAAACAGAAACAAACAGAAACAGAAACAGAAACAGAAACAGAAACAGAAACAGAAACAGAAACAGAAACAGAAACAGAAACAGAAACAGAAACAGAAACAGAAACAGAAACAAACCAGAAAGAAATAGAAACAGAAACAGAGAACAAAGAGAGAAAGACAGAAAGACAGAGACAATGCCAGACAGAACACTACAATTAGGAATTACGTCCCGTTCCCTCGCACAATCCTCTTAATCACCACGGACCCAATTATTACAGTATCTAAGAACAGAACTCCACCTTTGAGGTTTTAACACGGTCCGCCGAGTCCCCTCCTCAAGCAACTACTCAAAGACACCGAGAACAGAATGGAATTACTCTACCTTGAAAGACTAAACCTCTCTGAACACAAATCCTCTCGTCTTCTGCAACATAGGCGGAAGGACTAAACCTACCTACGTGATGAAAGACCTGCAAGAGTAAGACTAGAATTAAGACCTCCAAGAGTAAGACTAGAATTAGGACCTCCAAGAGTAAGACTAAAATTAAGACTAAAATTAAGACCACCAAGAGTTAAGACCTAAAATTAAGACTAAAATTAAGAACCTAAGTAAGACAAGACCTAAGACTAAAATTAAGAGCTCCAAGAGTAAGACTTAAGAGTAAGACTAAAATTAAGACCACCAAGAGTAAGACTAAAATTAAGACCTCCAAGAGTAAGACTAAAATTTTAGACCTCCAAGAGTAAGACTAAATTAAGAGACAAGAGTGACTAAAATTAAGACCTCAAGAGTAAGACAAATTAAGACCTCCAGAGTAAGACTAAAATTAAGACAAGAGTAAGACCTCCAAGAGTAAGACTAAAATTAACACCTCCAAGAGGTAAGACTAAAATTAAGAAAGAGTAAGACTAAGACCTTCCAAGAGTAAGACTAAAATTAAGACCTCCAGAGTAAGACTAAAATTAAGACCCCAAGAGTAAGACCTCCAAGAGTAAGACTAAAATTAAGACCTCCAAGAGTAAGACTAAAATTAGACCTCCAAGAGTAAGACTAAAATTAAGCAAGGTTAAGACCTCCAAGAGTAAGACTAAGACTAAGAAAATTAAGACCACCAAGAGTAGGAGTAAGACTAAAATTAAGACCACAAGAGTAAGACTAAAATTAAGACCTCCAAGAGTTAAGACTAAAATTAAGACCTCCAAGAGTAAGACTAAAATTAAGACTCCAAGAGAAGACCAATTAAGACTCCAAGAGTAAGACTGAAATTAAGACTCCAAGAGTAAGACTGAATTAAGACTAAGTAAGCTAAAATTAAGACCTCCAAGAGTAAGACTAAAATTAAGACCTCCAAGAGTAAGACTAAATTAAGACCTCCAAGAGTAAGACTAAAATTAAGACCTCAAGAGTAAGACTAAAATTAAGAACTCCAAGAGAAGAAATTAAGAGACAGTAAGACTAAATTAAGACCACAAGAGTAAGACTAAAATTAAGACCACCGAGTAGACCAAATTAAGAAGAGTAAGACTCAATTAAGACCTCCAAGAGTAAGACTCAAATTAAGACTCCAGAGTAAGACTAAAATTAAGACTCCAGAGTAAGACTAAAATTAAGACCTCCAAGAGTAAGACCTCCAAGAGTAAGACTAAAATTAAGACCTCCAAGAGTAAGACAAAATTAAGACCTCCAAGAGTAAGACTAAATTAAGACTCCTAAAATTAAGACACCAGAGTAAGACTAAATTAAGACCTCCAAGAGTAGACTCTTAAGAAGATTAAGACCTCCAAGAGTAAGACTAAAAATAAGACCTTCAGAGTAAGACTAAAATTAAGACTCCAAGAGTAAGACTAAATTAAGACCTCCAAGAGTAAGACTAAATTAAGACCTCCAGAGTAAGACTAAAATTAAGACTCCAAGAGTAAGACTAAAATTAAGAACTCCAAGAGTAAGACTAAAATTAAGATCACCAAGAGTAAGAGACCTGCAGAGGTAAGACTTAATTAAGACCTCCAAGAGTAAGACTAAAATTAAGACCTCAAGAGTAAGACTAAATTAAGACCTCCAAGAGTAAGACTAAAATTTAAGACCTCCAAGAGTAAGACTAAAATTAAGACCTCCAAGAGTAAGACCTGCAAGAGTAAGACTAAAATTAAGACCTGCAAGAGTAAGACTCAAATTAAGACCTCCAAGAGTAAGACCTCCAACAGTAAGATCAAAATTAAGAGCTCCAAGAGCAAGACCAAAATTAAGACCTCCAAGAGTAAGACCATCAAGAGTAAGACCTCCTTGAATAAGACGTGAGGTCTTAGTTCCGTAAAGTCCTCGAGTGGTTTAGGGTCTTTGTGGACAACCATATAAATAAACATGCAATGAGGGTCGAGATATATAAATAGAGAGATAAAGAGGGAGAAAGTGTATTTGTATGTAGGATTATATTTATGTCTAGATTTATTTATATATCTAAAGGTAGCTACACCAAGTGTCTCAAAGACGCGGCTCGCTACAGTCTTTTGTGCGGCTCGCGGCACTTTTGCTATTTAAGACTTACCGTCAGCCGTTTTAGGTGGTTTATTAAGCCAGTCCTACGGCTTTTGCGGTTATCACTAACACTGTCACAGTCTTTTATCTATATATTTATTTATTTATTTTGTTTTTTTTTGTTTGCTTTATTTTATTTTATTCCACTTTATTTTATTTTATTAATTTATTTTATTTTATTTTATTAATTTAATTTCATTTCATTCATGTATTTATTTATTTATTTACTCGTTTATTTATCTTCATTTTTTTTGTAATAAAGTAAAACAGCCTCCTATGTTTTTACGTCAACCAGATGGCCGTTTCGCAGTGTCGACTCACGAGTATCGGGCTCGCATGCTGTATACAGAGGGGAAATGTGGCCACCGCGAGGGAATGAGTTTGACAGCGCTGATCCATATTTTTCGGTGTAAACACGCATGCAC